AAATTAAAATCTAGGAGAAATGTGCTAACAAATGATATTGTGGACACAGAAGGCTACAAACTTCAAAACAAAGTCAGTTTGTAACAACCTACTGGTTTTAATCACTTAATCTGTTTATAATGAGGAATTTAGGTGTGGGTACATTTTTTATCCAAGAACCAAGCATTAATCCCCAATTAGTGTTTGAAGTATCCTTTTTTAATCATATCTCAACTTGTATTTTCCTTGTTCAGGAGCATTCTTAATGAAATATGTCATTTTTTACAGCCATGATCAACTTAATTTTTACATTATGTATACATTTTGCAGTTAAAATGTTTTTGTCCCCATCAGATCATATCAACAAAAAAATAACGTTTCAAAATAAGGTCACATGTTTTTTTAATTCACTATTGTGAATGAATTTTATGGAAAATGGATTAAGCACCTGTGTTGAACAATATCAGTGTTATAACTCTGTACAGTCTGAAACACGTTCAGGATGTTTGAGTGTTCACTGTGCTATTTAAAATCTCTGAAATAATTCATTATTCTAGAATTTATGCTAGAATTAGATGCTAGAATTTTTAAGTAGTTTTTTAGTCAAGACAATTATATTTTTATGTATTAACCTCACTGAAAGATCACACCAGTGTATAATCTACACAGAAACTATTGAAAGAACACTTTCAATATTATTATTTGAATTGTTTTAAGTTATGCTCTATAGGTCTTGAGAGATTTTCTGTTGTGATTTTTTCACAGGTTGTTTTGAGCCATTGCTGCATAAAAATACATGTCTTTGAGAAGATTTTTCAAGGCTGATGGGAACAAGTTTACAGACAAAAGTACATCAAATTTGCTTGGCCCTGTGGTAAAGAATTTGGGACATTCACGACTGCCTCATACTTTCCTTTGTGTCTTTATCATTTTAGAAGGTAGCAGGGAAATACTGATGTAGATATGAACTACTCCTAAACTAAAACTCTTCAAATACTTAGCTCTGTTGACATTTCACATTAGAATTGCTTTGGAGTTCATGAAAACATTTAGGGGTTATTACTCTGAAAGGGGTTTTACTTTGCACAAAAATCTTTTTAGCATTAATTAGGCTTTACATGTACTGTAACTGTATAAATATATTATCATATATTTATCATATATAAGTATATTATCATATATGTATACAGTTACACTTTATTTGCAGTGTCAGACAGTTAGATTAATATATGGTTTTGTCTGCTGTTGATACTGTTTTATAGGTTAACCATTCTGTTCTGTGATTCTCTTCCACAAACTTAAATTAAACATTTTGTCAAATATTATGATATGAATGATGAGATTGGACCCAATGTACATCACCTATGAGCCATCACAAACATAAAAACTGTATTTGTTCTTCCAAACTGTGTTAGCAACATTTTTAACAGCTTTATTTTCTCAGAAATACTAGGGCTTATGTTTTATAAACCATAGTAATCACTCTTAGAATTCTTTCCGGCACAGTTTAACTGGAAATTATATTTATCTTAATTATATGGTGACTGTATTTCTCAACATAAATGGTATTTAAGATAACATTAAAGTTTTATGTTCACTGACACAAACTATAATTGCTGGTGTTTCAATTTAAATCACATTGGATTTATTTACAACACTGCATCTTGAGCACATGAGAACCAATCCCTGAACAATTACAAAATAAGCAAAAGTAAGCATAAAAAACAGGTTGTAGAAGAGACAGTCAAATAAATTGGCTGTCCTGTGTGATTTTCTTTCTTCTGTATTCTCAGGGCTTACTTTAGGAGGCTTTTGATTTACAGTAACAGTTACCTCACACAGCGGCACTTTCTATTCAGCACAGCCTTAAGAGGCAGGCATGTTTGGCATAATGCCTCCAGACGACAGTGACCATAAATAAACATTGAAAGGGATAGTTAAGCAGCTGGCTGGGTGCCAGTGGAATAAATCAAACAATTTGATTTTAAGAAGGGTGTGGAATACCTCCCTTTGGAGCAAGAACCTTTGACAAAGGCAACTCTGTGTCTGTGTCATTGCCCTACCCATGACATATGTATATGTATGTACGTTTTCTAGGAATATGCTGCTTCAGATAGGAATATCATAAATGGTTGTTTGTGCTTCATTTAAACAAAGGTTCGGGAGGAGGTCAAACCCTAATCTCCACCATTTCTGCCCACCTGTATATAAATATCTCACCTCCCGAACCCCATGTGCAAATGATCTCAGTCAACACTCAACTATTGAAGAACATAATCCTACCTTGCCACTCCTCATTGTTCAACCCATTGTTTTCTGTCCTTCGTCCAGCGGGATATGGATTAAAAATAAGCATACAGAAGGTGCCCCAGGCCG